AAGGCCCCCCCCCCCCCCCTTCTCTCTCTCTCTTTCGGCATGCAAGGTAGATTCTGATGCGAGCGTTGGGATGCAGTGTTTGCCGGGCTCGGACTGTTGGCAGCGGACAAACTCGAGCAACTCTTCCCTGCGCGCAACAACCGACCCACCGAATCCAAGCCGGATGCACAGCCCAAGTTGATCGACCACAAACCGCGTCTACTTGCCATCTCGGTCGTCGATCGTGACCCCAACCGCTCATAACGCACAACATGAAATGGAAACAGCGTGAATTCGAAACATGTACATCAAGAAAAGGCTTTAGTCGTCGTCCTCGGACAGCTTGGGTGCAAGGTAGAATCGCACGTATCCGTTTTCGAAGCCGAATTCACACTAAACCCGCCGCGGAAGGAAAAGGAAATGTCAGCGATAGTCACTGGAAGAAAAGGTTTCGAGGGCGAGCAAGGACTTACGAGGAGGGGCACTTCGTTGCTCATATGCAGCTGCACCTCGTCGGCCAGCGGGGCGGCCTTGGCAAAGTTGCTGAGGTACTTGAGCGAGAAGGTGAGGTTGACCGCCTGTTGCATCTCGATCTTGACGGGGACCTGGCCACCCGTGCTTGCACCGTCCTGCTTGCGCTTCTTCTTGGCCGGCTTGACGTCCTCGTCGTCATCATCGTCGTCGGCGAGCGCTGCGCTGGCCGAACCCTGCTTGAGCGTCATCCTGGCCGCGCCGATCTCACCCTCTGCGGAGAAGGAGACGCCCTCCTTGGACACCTCGATCTTGACGCTCTCTCCGATGTTGGCGAGATCGCGACAGATGCGTCCGAATTCGCCCGACGACATCTTGACCACGGCGTCGTACTGGGTATCGGGGATGCCGAGGTGCTCCGAATCAATGTCCATCAGCTTCATCTCGAATTCGCCGACACGGTCGGACTTGGGCGACTCGAACGTCATCTGCAGCGTATCGCCGTCGTCGGACTTCTTGAGCGACAGCACGTCGTCGTTGTTCGCCCCCTTGAGGATCTTGCCGAGCGAGGCGAGCGAGACGCCGATCGACATGGGTCGGTCGCATCGGAACTCCTCGAAACAGTCGCTGCGCAGCTCTATCGCCGACAGCGCCACGTGCGAGTTGTCCATGGCCTGAAGGCGGATGCCGTCCTCGGAGCATTCAAAGTTGGCATCGGTGATGAGCTCGCGCACGGCGTCGAGCACCTTCTTGAGCAGCACGGCCTCTCGCAGACGAGCCTCCAGCATGGTTGCGAATGTGGTTTCCTCGGTGGGATGTTGGTTGCGTTACGTTGGATAGGGTCCGAAGAGCGAGTGGTGGTGGAGGAAGGAGGGGGAGAGCAGGATGCTCTCGCCTCGCGCGATGCATTCTTTCTCCGCGCTCGCTCGACCCAAAACGAGAGAGAGACAGAGACAGAGACAGAGAGAGAGAGCGTCCATTCCAGACGCGCCGCGCGCTCCCAGTTGGGCTTCACTTGGGCTTCGGTGGCTCAGCTGCTGCCGTGTTGCACTTCTCTCGCCAGAAAGTGCCGCGGCCGAGGCGCAGAATCGGCGCAGAATTTCCGCTGCCAATCCACGCGCCGGTTGGCCCACTCTGCTCTTTACGCGCCGCCTGCTGCCTCTTCCGCGACGCGCACGCGCGTTCGATTTCACCCAACGCGCGCTCTCTCTCGTTGCGCGGGCGGGTGTTGGTCTCCGTATAGCACAAATCTAACAATCTCACACAAAGCCGAATCTTCTCGCGCGGCTTCAGCCCAATGTGGAGGCGGATTCAGGGTCCAGAGCGCGCCCACTCTTGCACCCACGCTGCTCCTCCTCCTCCGACTCTCCTCCCACACGCTTGCATCCTCCATGCTTGCCTCTCAACCGCCATCGATACCCCAGCCAGCATGTCGTTCTCGTCATCTGGGCCAGCCGCTGCTTCCGCTTCGAGCGACGACGACTTCCACCTCACGCATGTGCTGCGCGCTCACACTTCCGACGTGAGTACCTCCCCTACTCTTCCGCCTCACTGCATCCTCGCTCACCCTGCAACCTTGCTTTTGGGGAACCGTAGGTGCGCTGTGTGGCGACGACGCTCGATCCGCTCTCTGGTCGTGAGGCGTTGCTGTCTGGGTCGCGCGACGAAACCGCCGTGCTGTGGTCGCGCGAGCAATCCCCCAACGCAGCCTTCGACAAAGACGCAAGCTTCCACGGCCACCGATTCTGCAGCGCGGTCGAGTTCATCTCACCCAGCACCTCCGCTGGCCTTCCACGCGGTCAAGTCCTAACCGGCAGTCTTGACGCTCAGATCCGGTGCTTCGATCCGCTGCGCCCGGACAAACCGCTGCAGCTGCTCAGCGACCACTGGGACAACGTCGCGGTGCTCAAAGCGCACACCGCAGACGAGCCGGTATTCATCTCGGGCAGCTGGGACAAGACCGCACGCGTGTGGGTGTGGGACCGCACAGTCGCCAAGTGGGCGTGCAGGTGGGTGCTGCGCACCCACGAACAGGCGGTGTGGGGCGTCGAGATCATCGAGCCACCCACGGCCACGCAGTCGGGAAAGTACCTCACCGCTTCCGCCGATCTGTTCATAAGGCTGTTTCACGGCGACCAGCTTCATACCGTCTATGCCGGACACACGGACGTCGTACGCTCGCTTCTACTGCTGCCCCCACTTGCACCCACCGACGGTGCTGGCAGTGCAGACCCCGTGCTGTTTCCGGACGAGAGGCTGTTTGCGTCGTCGTCCAACGACGGTACGGTGCGCATCTGGTCGCTCGACGCGCGCCGCAGTCCGACCCAGGGCAATGGCGGCGACGCGGTGCGCGTGCTGCGCGGACACACCAGCCTCGTGTACAGCCTAGCCACGTACCAAGACGCATCAGGATCGCGACTGGTGAGTAGTGGTGAAGACGGCACGTTCCGCATCTGGAATCCCATCTGCTCGCGATTACTGCACACTATCGCTGTGCCCGTAGTGTCGGTATGGGCGGTAGCGGTGTTGCCCGCATCGAACGATATCGTCGTCGGCTGCAGTGATGGTCTGGTTCGCGTCTACTCTCGCCAGGCCGCGCGCGCCGAGGAGGACAGCAAGATGCTCGGTGCGCCGCTGTCTGCGGGTGAAGCCGAGGCGGAAGCACAAAAAGCAGCCGAGGTGCAACGAACCCTGGCGACACGCAACACCGAGACGTCCGAGCAAAGCACGCAGGATGGCACCCACGATGCGGTGCTCCACATCGACATTGCCGACGACAAGCCGCCGCTACCACTTGCGGTCAGCCGCTCGCACAACTGGCTCCAAGTCGCCTCGGACTTTGTCGCGCTTCATGCACTGCCGCACTCGTACATCGAGCGCATCGTCGAGTATATCCAGCTCGTCTTTCAATAAGATTGCCGTTTGCCATCCAAGAATGCCGCCGGGAATCTTTTGTCCGCGACCCACGAGGGTTATGCATCAACACAAAGCAAATAGACGCCGGTGGGCGCCCGACCCAACCTCGGAAGATGGCCAACGCTGGGCGCAAAACTCGGCGACCGAATTGGCTCCGAGCCCAACTGCCAACGGTTGCCGGACGATTCTCGGTGGAGCTGGAGGGGTGCATTGTTTTCCGAGCGCCATGTGGGCCGAACACCGTCGGTGGAATGGAGAGACTGCGGAGAGACTTTGGCGGCACAACCAAGTTGCGACTAGAATAGCCGCACCGTACCTACAAACGCGCAAGCTCGGTGCTCGGTCCTAGATGGGTTCAGTGTGCCTGACGGAGCCAATAAAAAAAACAGAGCTCACCGGCGACCTTTGTTGCCCACCGCATCGCTGGACGAACTCACGGATCGGCGTTTTTTGCGACCGAAGCAGGATTCCCCACTCGATTGCATTGTCCACCGCTTCATCCCACCCCTTGCTCCATCTTCCGTATTTGCAATGAGCAGCACTAGATGACGTAGGAGCTAGCTTGGAGGTGGTGCGGGTGATTTCGGGAAGCCTTTCTGTGGCGGGGGGAGAGGGCTGTGAAAGACCAATTTTCTCTCGCTGTCACATGTCTGCCAAAAAAAAAAAAAAAAAA